AAAAAACCATCCCACACAATTATAGAGAACTGTGGGATGGGGGGAGAATTCCATTTAGTTTGTATGAAAGAAAAGATGTTACTGACACAAGAAAACATTGTCTTAGTCTATTAGAAAGGGGTCTTGATTGCAGTCTTTTCATGATGGAGTGAACGCAGCCAAACATAAGAACATACCATAAAGAGAAGGTACTTAAAACAGGAGAACAGAAGTGACAAGATTGAGTATATAATTCCATTTTCAGTAATTTCACTTTCAAAAATGCTAAGATTGACTTGTCATTTATATTACTGGCAGATTTTTGTTCGTTAGTTTGTTTACTTGTCATTAAAYTTCATCTGCATATAGATTTTAAGGCCCACCTGCAACCCCGGGAAGAAAGCTAGCAAAGAATCCATCCAGGTCCGAGCATTTAGCATTGGTTTGTGAATATGAACATCAAGTAGAAGAGGTGGCTGGCTAATGTATCTCATTATGGCATCGTAGTGCTGACAAACATCCAAAAAAAATGAGCTTATGTTATCAATAAGTTTCAAAAAGAAAAAAAGAGAAAATGTTTAATTCACAGGCTTATGTCACTCTATTTCAAAATAAGAACAAGCATTGAACTCCAAACTACAATTGTACTTGGTATATCTTCTAGTTTTGCAAATCAGAAGGTAAATTGTAAATCAGCTATTGCAAAGCTTCTCAGTATTACACACAATACCCTCCACCTTTCCTAGCATGCAAGTAAAAGACAAAAAAAGTACAGTCAGCAGTCACATGATAAATGGAAAACTTCTCACAAGGTTCTTTTGCTTTGACCGAATCTTAAAGAACACAATAACCAAAGCTGAGGCTGCTTCCTCCAAACAAGAGGATTCAAAAGCAAATATATATCTTGTGAGGAAAAAGGAGGTATACATATAAACAGCTGGACTAGATCACTCAAGAACTTTAACATCCATTTGCTCACTTATCAGTTTTCCAGCCTCCAATCCTATTCACCCCAATACAGCTGTCTGAATCTGAAGCCCAGAATGTAAGTTGTAAGCATATCCACTGAACCGATAGCAAGCACTTAACAGACATAACTGAGGGTAAATGCAATTATAGTGCTGGCTGTAGGAGGTCAGAAACATGAAATAAACAGTTTAGGCGCTACAACAGGTTTGTAACTACTGATATATTCCACTTTTAAATTGCTATATGCTATTTATGATATAAAATGAAGTGTTTTTATTGGATACTGCTATTTTGTAACATTTTAAGAAACAATAATGATGCCAAGAGATTTACTTTATAATCTTATGAATTTAGTTATCTACTACATATGTTTTTCAGTTTGAAAGTACTGGAATATATACAGGCCTTTCTAGACTTAAAATTATAGCCCTGGAGTGCAATGAAGGATCCAGATGTCAATTCACAGAACATCTCTGTTACTCCAGGACATTAAGAAGTTATACCACCTTCTGTAACAAGAAGCCTTTATGTTGTTTTACAGAAACATTTCCAGTGTTACACCCTTCAACGCCATCTTCAAATACAGCATCTCCTGCACTCGCAGCATGGTAAAACATGCACAAGAAGATTCCAATCTTTGTTGGATGGGGTTGAACAACTTCATCAGGTGACAGTTCACTCAAGATCAGTGAAAATCTGTACTGAATGAGAAGCTGCAGAAATTCTGCCAGAGGGTTCATCACAAGCTTCCCAGGCTATCAGTTGACTGACAGCAAAATAAGTCTTAAATTAGTCTTAAATGAGGAACAAATCTGAGCAAGGACTTACCGTGTTAAATCTTTCCAGGAAGCTGTCATCTCCCAGCAAGACATAGGCTTTTAATAAATATTCATAATATGAATCTATTCCTGCTCCAACTCCACTATCTAGAAACAGAAGATGAAAGTGTTGTTTCACTTTAATTAGTTATTCAGATACATATTTTGATTCTAAAGTGAAACAAAAAGACTCCTATCACTAGAATTATGGCATCAGTGGCTATGCAATATTAATGCACATAACAATACAGACATGCATTTAGGATCCACTCCTCTTGCATGACACCATGTTTCTACTAACTGGCATATACAACTGAAGTCTTTTTTTTTTTTTTTTTTTAACTGGGTATTTATAGAAGAGTTCCTGAAAATTTATCCCAAGGCATTCCTCCTACTACTAAGTGAATCAGAGCATATGTTCTCTGCAACAGAAAAATACCTAATTTCTCAGCCAAAATACTTTCAAAGAAAAGCCAGGTCTTCTTGTGGCAAGACTCTTCCAGATCTCAAGTATGCATCTACACTTGCCTGTCTCATTACCATTTTAAAATAAACTAGATAAATGTGGAAGGGAAAAGCTTAGAAACAGCACAACTTTTTATTGCCCCAAGCCACCTGTGGCCACACATCCTGCAGCCAGGACACCACCTACCTTTGCGGACCCAGTCTCCAGTGTGAATATTAATAGTAACACCCACTAAATTGCTACTGCGTTGTCTCTTTTCCCAAATAAAATCAAGTGCTTTCCGTGCATATTCCTGCAACAGACAAACAACAAACTCCTTAAATGAAACCACAGAGAAACAAAAGAATTAAGAGACTGACACAGAAGATTATTCTTCTGTGTACTGAAATTAAGGTGCTATTAAGACGTTCCACATGCAAAGGAAGAATGATAAAACTCAGTGTTATGTTACATATGCTTGAACTGCAGAACTTTCAATCCACGTTTGTTTAGTCATTCTGTTGCTAATTAGAAGGCATGGTGCTCTTTTTACACAACCGTTTGCCAATACACTGTATTGTCCTAGGCAAGTCATAAAAGTCCCTCTGCCCAGGCTTCCTAATCTGTAAAGCTGCGTATACAGAAAGGATATTGTAACCTAATTAAAAAGCAATTCAAAAATAAAAATATTTCAAGAAATGTAACAGCTTTAAAATCACTATGACTTTTCAGACATTTCAAGGTGGAGCAGCAATCCTGATTCAATGCAAAGTAAGAAGAAATATAGTTAAGAATATGTTTATTCTATAGCTTCTGTGTAGAATTTTTATGCAATATTCAAAACTTACCCACTATCTATAAGGACTACTATACACTTTCACCACTTATGATTCCTGGCAGCCCTGCAACTCAGTGGAAGTCTAAATAAGCAATAATCTTATCGGAAAAAGAGAGTTGCAAAAACAAAGGCCACACRAGCCCAGTGAAGACATTAATCGGTCCAGACAGTACCAGGACATAGTTTGGAAAGTTTAAGTGCCCAAATGTCACTGACAGCCATGTCAGGGCAGCACCATGTTTACTACTAGCAGTGATGTGTGTGTGGAGGGGAAAAAAGTCAGCTTGTGATCAAGACTATCTTTACAGGTAAAGCTGGCAAAGGAAAATCTATGAAGTGAACTCATTTCTGACTGAGCCAAAAAAAACCTATAAGGCTTATATTTGAGTGATATTACCTCCTTTTTAAAGTTGCATTTTAAAGAACAAAAGTATCTCACTTCTTGCTAGCCAAACAAAYGACTGGCACTCCTCTACCCAAATACTTTGCAGATATTATATTTTAACTGAAATTTTCATAACATTGACCTTGGTTACTTCTATATTACTATGAACATTTATTTAAAAAGATTACTTCCTGGAAGTCTTAAATTTGAAGTTTAACAGCACTTAAAAAAAAAAAACAACAAAAAGGAAAAAAAACCACAATCACAATATGCACAAGAAGTCTGTGTGTTTGGGTAGGACAGCTTATATGCATCCATTTGATGAACCCCAAATTATTTTTCCAAAATTAGGGAAATGTTAAACAGAAAACTAATGTGAACTTATTTCCAACAGTAAGAGATCATGGAAAGCAAACCTCGAATATAGATGTTCCAGTGAATCGGCTTAAAGCTGCAAACTCAAGGATCAAGGTACCTGCACAAGCTGTGCAGGTATCTGTTTCCGTTCCTGTTCGTGCTTCTGGATGCCTTACACCAAATTTCAAGTTTACCTAGAGAAAAGCAGAGATTATCACCACTTCTACTAGGTGCAAGTCACATTCCCATGACAGATCTGTACAGCTACCAGATAATCCACGCTTTTCCTAAAAACAAGAAAAAGGACTACTCCTCTCCCATCAAATTACCTTTACCTCCACACTGTCAGCTCAATCGCTGTTATAAAATTACCCAGAAGAAAGTCTCCCCAAATGAAGACTGGTGCAAAAGGCAGTTACCTCATTCATTAAATAGTTAAAAAAAATCTGACTCATTGGAACCTGACTCATTGATATTAAGCTTTACAAATATCTTCATACTCCTGGCTCTAGGCTACACCAGTTAAGTGAACCCGCTTTTGGATCAGGCACAATCTAGAACAATCTGAATTAAACATTTTTTACTAGAAAGTTGCTGATTTACTGTGTCTAAAGTTAACGTGTGGGAATATTTCCCAAAAAGCTAAATCTTACAAGAAGTCAGTGGACAAAATACACAGGCAATATTTTCCATTATTCCAGGAGTGAAATGTTCCACACTTTGTTTGACTATAATTATAATGTTTTATGTTCAATGRATATTTCTAAATTATAGTTCTACAGTTATTTTTGCCTGTTTAAGTATTTGGATTGAGACCATGAAGATTAAGCTATTCTGTGATAAATTAACAAGCACATGCTTGCAAGATGATCTTTCACTGACTCAGAGAGAGATAGGTACCTTAACGTGGCTGTTCCTGTGAGCTACTTGCTAGTACAGAGCATTGAGGAGCAGGATATCCATAGAAAGATATTAGACAAGACACCTGCTRTTCCTATCTACCCAAAACAATGTATGTTTGAGTTGTCTGATCTGGAAGTCAGAGATTCAGAGAGCCCAAAATTGCACTTCAAAATTCACGTGTCACAAGACCAAGTTATCAGACTTTGATTTTCCATATGCATAATAAATATATACAAGTGACTTTAGAAACCAAGATTAAAACAAAGTAAAAGTTCTGCTTATAGGAGCATTTTTGAATTGCAGAGATCACAGAACTTACTCTTGGATAAGGGAGACCACTAGTGGTATTGAAGGCAGGCAAAAGYTTGTAGCCTAGTTCCTTGGCCATGTGCAGGAGCTCGCCGCTGTACCACTGCATAAATTCACCTTTCTCTTTCAGCATAATTGCCACTGAATGCCCACCTAAGAGACCTCTAAGAGACAGAGAACACAACAAAGTCATGCACATCTCAGTAAGTAGAGTCACCTCAATAGCAGTGCAAATTCCAAAATTCTGTATATAAAAATACTCTATAAATAACTGTGCCATGTTCAKGTGGGTCTAATTTTCATAAATGGTGAGTGGATTCAGCTATTACCGGGGTGCTGACAGCATTTTGCAAGTAATTTTTATTGTTCAGGACTCTGTCCTAAAGAGGAACCACTGATTTATCCATGCAGCTAGTTGAGAATAAGTAACACCTCTAAAACATTTCAAAATAGTTTAAGATTAGCCTATTCTGATCCTGCTGTTAGCAGATAATTAGACTACAGACCTCCAGAGATACCTTTCAACTTGAAATAACCTAGGATCCTAAAGGAATATTTTATCTATTAAATCAAGTATTGAAAGTATAACTATTTCTACTAGGAAAATAAACCACCACTACCATAGCACACTTGACTTTTTTCCCATTTTCAATCAAAAAAGCTAAGCCCACAGGAATAGATAGCAGCCAATTTCCACCTCATATTTTACAGTCTTCCTCACAGCAGCTCTTGAATTATGCTGTCAAAAGAATAACTGTTTTAAGCAAGGTGAAACAGCACAGAAATGTATGCTTTAAGGACATTACCCAGAAAGTACATCTTTTAGAGTTCTAAAATCATAGAAATTACTCACCCAAGGACTCTTATGTTGGTTTCAAAGACTGATACGACTATGTCATTATCTAAATTAACATCTTTTATTACTTTTTTTACAGCCTCTTCAAACTCTTTGGTTCTATTTAACACCTGAAAAATAAATGAGTAGGGGTTGAGATCCAACTCAGCTAATAGCCACACTCAAGTATATAATAAGAGCAATGGATTAAAAAGGAAGCAATCAAGATATTTTTGACTGATATTTGTACTCTGCAGGGGCATACTCTGACACATCATGAACAAATTGTAGTGTTACTGTTTTTGTGAGATTTGTGTGACAGAATAAGCTCTGCAGACAAGCAATAATGTCCCTGGGAAAGCACAGCTCAGGGATGCTCAGGGATTTGTTTGTTCTTTCAAATCCCTGACCGCAGCCCAAGGGGATTCAGGGGGCCATAGGCCTCATCKGGACTAGCAGAGTGCCCGGAGCGTGGCCTGCTCAGACACCACCCCGAGTTCACAAAAGCTTCCTATCCACAGGCTCAGAAGCCTCATGCTAAATTAGATGAATTGTCTGAGCAGTCTTCCTGCTCCCACCAGTTTCCTCCCTTTGCCTGAAGTTTGGTCGCTTCCTTCACATTTCCTTCCTCACTGGCATTCTTTTGATTATGGAACCTTTACATCACAAATCTTTCTGACCAATTCCTTTTTGCAAGCACTTTTAAATTGCACATATGTTAATCTTGCTCTAAGACAAGAGAAAAAATAAATCACAATAATCCATTAGAGCATCTAGTAAAGACTTGGGAGTCACAGGCTCYGAGTTCAATGTCTGCAGGTCTGTTACAGATGAGTCAGGGGTCATCTCATGGCAACATCATAGCAAGAGAATAGTCATCAGAGAAAGAGCATCATATGATTCATGCCCCAAAGCAGCACTGTCAGGAAACAAACCTAAAAAGCTTTGAAAACCCTAAGAATAGGGAATGGCCAAAAATCATCCTTACTTTCAAAAAATATCCTACTTCATTAATCATAGGACTCCTTTTTAAAAAACTGTTCTTGACAAACAATTTCAGAGTTACGTCTTTTATAACATATATTTAAGTTCATACAAATATATCCACAAAACCACTTGTACGTACACTTCAAAAAAACAATTTGGCAGGCATTAAGAGGTGTTTGGCTGCAAGTCTTACAGTCTTCCGCTTTCAGGAAGAAACTATATGAAGATAACATTGCTTTATAAAATGCCTGGTCAGCATGTTGCTTTAAATCGTACTGGGAGGCAAACTCACATACCTTTTCATTTTGTTGTGGAGCCCAAGAAAAACAAGAGAAGAAAATGACAGTGATCTACCAAGGAACTGTTCTAGCTTTCTCTTTGCAATGAATTCCAAACACCACCATCGCAGCACTTGGAAGCTCTTACAAGCAATAGCCACTTTTAACAGATGGCTAGAAATCAAAGGTGAAGCAAGATTAAATTGTCTTATGTATAATAGAGTGCTTAAAAGAGAACATCAAAAAAGAATTCAGAACAGCAGAAAACAATCTTTGCTTTAGTTAAGTTTATCAATAGATGAAACCCACCACAAGAGTGTCCAAGGTATCAATCAAGGTCAGGGAAAACCTATGAAATAAAAATTAGAACAGATTTATTATTACAAGCTTGCATATTTAGAAATTAAAATAACATGGAGGAAACGCAATTAATTCTCATACACCACCAGCTACTAAAAACTTAGTCTTATACAGTACATGTTTAGTATCAAAATTAACACTCTGGTTGTACTAGGAATCTTCCTCTTGCTAGTGACCAAGGCAGGAGCTGACYATAACAAGTTATGACCCAACAGAATGCTTCAAAGTCTTTTTTCCAACTCTTTTTCTTTCTTACTGAAAAATTTTGCCTAATTGTAATAAAAACGTTTATTTTGAAATATCAAAAAATCATTCACTATGGAAAACTATTCCAATGAACTACTAAAAATAAAAATGAAAGGTGTGATTTGTTACAAGCGCTAATAAAACACTAACCACACTCAATGATTTTTGCTAGGATGAAAGCTCATTGTCAGCTACAACACAGCTAAGGTAAATGCCTTCTCRGTCTACATTAAAGAGAAAAAAAAAAAAGACAATCCCAGTGCTGGAATTATGGGTGAAAGGATAAAGAAAAGGCTGCTGTTTTGTAAAGATTTTCTCTGTGGGTTATAATGCACATGAAAGAGGCACAAAAATGAGCAGTATGGATGGCTGACAGTGTATAGTGGCTTCTGTATGAGGAACCAGCAAACATGTGAGCACTGCAGCCTGCAAAGTGACAGCTGAAGTGTCATTTGATGAAGATTTTTAAGTTGAACATGACATGAAGAAAATGAATGGGAAACTGCTATTCACTTTTTCTCACAGTATCACCCAGTGCCACCCAGCACTAGCAAGTGGTGGGCTTAAAATAGAGAACTGCTTCCATAAAAGAGAACATCAAGTCAGGGAACTCAGTGCCACAGGTAGCTTTGGCTTTAGAAAAGCCAAATGCTTACCTGGAWTCTAAGAGCGATTAAACAAAAATTTGTGCATTAAAAGCCACAAATGGCTTTGAAGAGATAATGCCCTGTGCTCAGATGCACTTGGATCCATATATCTGCCACAGAAGCAGCACAACACGGCTTGTCCTGTTCATGTGTTCTCCAGGCCTCTTACAGCGTTAATTATTGCAGACAGTGTACAAAGCTGGCCTGACCTGATATGATTACTCTTGTTATGTTAAGAAAAGCATAATATTCAAAGACAATTTACAGATTCCATAGGTAATTCTATTAAATTTTTTTCTTTTTAGAAACAGTTACTCTTGGAATCACTGAAYGGTTAGCAAATGCCAAGAACTTAATATCAAGTGCTCCCTACTTGAGGCACTGTAGAAAATAGTTGCTAGTGCATGAGAATGATTAAAATTCTATTCAAGTGGTCACGTCCCATCACTTTCATCTTAAGTTTTAAGATATGACATTCTGTGTCATTATGAAGGACTTTTTTTTTTTAAAATCTCACACAATTTGGGGAAGATTATGTATTGCACACCTACAGCCAATGTATTGTATATTCATAGAGAAGACTGGTGTACACACATGCTCCCTAGTCCTTGACTGAATCAGAAATGACTGAGCCCTCTCACCCTGTGATTTTAACTATACTGTGATTGCAAATAACATAACTGATGAGTCAAGTAGCAAGAAAAACTATTACATAAAGCATTTGATAAGTGACTTACTATTTTAAAAGCACATACACAGCAAATACATTGCTCAAGGGAGTTAAGGGGTCAGAGAGATATTTTCACTCAAATGATACTATGTTATTGTGTAAATAAAGGCTGTTGAAAGGAATGCAGGATCAGGATTAAAAATACAATTTTTTGAGTTTTCTTTCTCAGCTGTCACATCTCCTAGTAGGAAGTCATYATCTCTTTGGTCAAATAATGCAATTTTAACTTGAAGAAAAAGACAACCTTAAATYCATACCTCACCTACCCTAAAATATAAGTAAATACATTATTTTGTATTATAAGCTATCTCAGCAGGCATTTCCAGGTCTGAAATAAGAGAACCCACAGAATTTCCATGAATACAGGTATTCCATGGGCTGCAAATAGTGCTAAGATTCCTCAATGTTTACAGGAGACAGTAACAGTTTCGAGTACTAACTTTCCCAAGGCATCRTCTACATCCCCTCGGCTCGGTTCCTGACCCCGTACTCGTCCACGACAAGTTAAAGGCATGAGTTCATCAGCTGGATAGGCATGTTCCTGTAGGGAAACAAATGAACAAGCAGGTGAATAAAGCTGTAACTGTTACAGACATTCCAATGAATCTTCACAATTCATTAAAAGGCTGTATTGGACATTTAAAAAAAAAAAAAAAAGGCACAAAATAAAGTTTTCGAGAAAGGGACATTGCTACTTTTTAAATAAAAAGCCAGCAATTAAAAAAATTTTGTATCACACATGGGACAGAGCAGAAGGAATGTTCTTCTATAAATAAACATTTCTTACAGTAATTCCTTTTGAGAGGGATGGTTTGTTTCCCTATCACTCCCTCCGCCAAGTGCTATGGTCTTTGCACAATTCTTTGTTCTTAACAACTGCAAAAGCAAGAATCTAGATGATTTGACTAGAGCGTGGATTCAGAAGAGGGTTTCTTCTGAATATCTGCAAAAAGAATTCAGAAGAAACAGATCAAAGAAATTCAAGGAAAAAGTAATGTCAAAGTAAAGATGACTGGCTTAATGATAGAAGGGAAAAAAGATGGTAAAAAATTCTGGAGAAGAGAGACTTTTTTAAGTCTTCTAATTTCTTACTCTCTTTGTTTAGTCTTAATATCATAAAGGAACTACAAACATTTAATAAAAAAGAAAAAAAAAGAACTTCACAGTCTCTGTCTAGAGAACTGAAGGTAATGAGGTCAAGTGATTTCCTAAACTCATAACACTTCCAGTTCAACTAACCTCAAAGGAAATACACAGTTATTAAATACAAAATACAGCACAAATGTTACAAATCAAGGTATTTCGGGAAAAATAGTACACCTAGCTCAACAGATACTCTGGAGTTTCTACACATTCTGATAGAATGAAGCCCCATACTTCTTAAGGTCAGGACTGTAAAGACCATAGTAGCATCATATTTGAAGAAAAAGGACTCGTTGCTATCAGTGCTAGATATCAAGAAATATTTTCTAGAGTAATATGAAAGGTATTTTCAAATATTGCTTCTGACAATAAAGAAGTTCTTTTTTTATCAGATACGTAGTTGAAGAGTAACAGTATGGGGAAAACAAACAAACAAACAAACAAACAAAAAAAAAAAAAAAAAAACCAGCTTTCTGCTCAAAATTCCTGCTAAGGTCTGAAAATGTAGATCAGGGAGTTTCCCCCTTGCATGCAAACATGAATTTTCAGTGTTCTAGCTACTCATGTCTAAAACAGGTATTAATAGAAACAGAAAATCACCTGTCTGTTTCAAAAGCAACCGTAAAAGACACTAAATTTTCTTGCTCCTGGAGTAAGTCGCATACCCTAATCTTTTCTTTGGCTTTAAGCAAACAAGTCACATTTCTGTTTGATTAGTGTTCCAGCATACGTGGCAAGCAAATATCCTTTTGGCTTCTAAGTTTCCAGGATACCTGAAGTCATTCTTCCCCTTCATCTAGAATTTTCTTCCTAAAAATACAGCAAGATAACTAACAAATTTCTATGAGCAGATCCCTTCTACCTGCACGAAGCCGCTTACCCAACCATGCCAACTAGGTACAGGTTTCTAGCTCAGATAGCTGTGGGAAACATAAAACTAAGTACTTGTAAGGAACCAAGGTCCAAATAATTAGCTTCAAAACATCACTAACAAACCTTATGTCAAGTTAAGATGTCAAAAGAAAAAGTTTAAAAAAAAAACCAACTGCAACAATTTTAAAAATAATCTTGACTGTCCACGTATTAATTCTAACTCTCACACACTATAAATAAGCATCTCACATGCTCCACTAGCTTTTAAGCCCCAAGAGTTAAATCATAAAGCAGAAACTGGGACATGTGGCAAGATATTTTCAAAAGACAGCAGTTGGTCATGTGGGAGCTGGCGCAACTTGGAGAAAGAGAAAAAAAAAAAGAGAGAAAAAAGAGGTTTCTGGTGTAACAGCTGCAAAATACATACAAGAAAGCCTGCTAACATAACCTTGTTAAGAATTAATATTTTATATTTTTCACATCTACTTTCTCCTCAAAAAATGTATTGCTGATAGTGTACTTGAAAGTAACTGTCACTTGAGGCAAGTCAGTCTACGTTAGTAAAACAGTTCTTTGTTCTGCAATACATCTAAACTAAGCTAATGTGTTTAAAAGTTGATCAGATGCTAGAACATAACCACGCCTGAAAGACACTACAAACCCTTTCACAGTAAACAAAAATACAACAAGCCACATGAAAAGACATCATAGCAAGGCAAGGGCGCCTGGCACATGACAGTCACATACTCAGAAGGGGGTAGGTGCTACAGACATGACATCAAGGCCCCTTTTTTGTGTCAGGTATAACTGGCTTGTTAAAGAACTGCCAAACTATATCTAACTTACCTTACTACAGAAATGTTTATTATATGTTTGAACTTGCTTTTTCAGTGAGAGTCTGGAACATCTACTGAAGATGAAAACTGCTCATGCTCTGATGCAATACAAACCAAGCTGAGGAAGGATCAGGCACAGATCAGCAAGAGTTACACCAGCTACGGCAATTCTGAGCTCCCACTGCTGTTCTTGGAAGCAATATACAGATGTTCTTATTTATTTTAGCTTTGTTTTTCTCCCTCACACCCTCCTGCTATTCTTTCAGCATGTTCTGTAGGTCACTCTCCCTCCCATGTCAACAAACAATTCTGGAAAAAGTTAAACAAACAGTATGTTACTTACCATATAATTGCTATATGCATGATCAAACATTTCCAACACTTGGTTTCTAGAATAGAAAAATAAAATAAATTAACTCTGCCCTTTAATATTCCTTTCACATGTCATTTTAATGCCACAAGCAGCAGGTGCACTGAAATCTAGAGCTCTGAAAAATCAGCAACAGGTCCACTACTAATGCATTCTGAWCAAGTAAATGGGATAAGGGAAAATAATTTCTCCCAATTCAGTTACTTTCATTCACTGCAGGAAATAAAAAAAAAGACTATTTCTCCAACTAACATGAAATTGCTTCCCATGTGGGGACTCTCATTCAGCTTCCTGTGCTTCTTCTTAAATAGCTGTAGATGTCACCAACACATCAAACCTTGAAAAACTGGAGATGGGATAAGTTTCTTGCTCAGCAAAAAAGGCAAACAGACTTACATTCTTCTTGTAACCACCAACACTAAAACCAACTGACAGAGCATAAACTCYAATCCATGATTTGGAAAAGATTTTCAATGTATACTTCTTCCCTGCATCTTRAATCTTGGCAAATAAATCCAAAGACGACATCTGTATATTATAAAATCCATTTCTTTTGAGTGACTGAAAAGCAGCCAAGGTGAGAAATGCTACTATGTAAAATAGCATTCGTTATCTGGGGAGGTTTCTGAGTGTCACAGAGTTCTGCTTCCCATCAMACCTAATTGCCAGAAAAGCTGCCCCTGGCAAAGGGACATCACCAAAACTCACAATGTCTGCAGATGAGACTCAATATAGAAAGAGGCAAAAACAAGTACATTCCAAATATCTGATGCAGTTCAGYGATTTGGAAATTTTAAAGTAATTTAATTTAGCAAAGCTATTAGGGAAGTCATCTAAAGAACACTGTATCACATCTGGTGAGGCTCTTCTTCACTGACTGTATCTAGTCTGCAGTTCTGCAACCTGCTGTAGCAGACAAAACCCCAGGGCTTTGCACAAGAGCCTGGKCCAGTTGCCCAACTGAATTTAGCATATTGCACTCAATAATTCAGCATATACATGTATATAAAGACTTCTGTTTCTCCATATGTACACACCTATGAATATAAAGCTTGTTTTGAGAGACATCTGTGACTGATCTCACCTTGCCATTATACAAATGTACACAAACTATCAGCTATTATTCACAAATGACCCAGCTCTGAGCCCTCAAAAYGCAGCCAGTGGGAAGACACCTCTTGTAATGTACTGCTGGGTATCTGAGGACATGCTGAGCACAAGGCACAACCATTTGAAACCAGTCAGTGAATGAAAGCTTAACCTCCTGCTGCTGCAGCACTTGTACGAAAAACAATAAAAATGAAATAAAAACAGAACAAAACCCCAATAACTGCGTTACTAAGAGTTAAACCAGGACTTATATCTAACAGCCGGTAACTGAGCGAGTCTCCGGTGTTTCTCCACCAGACTTTTTCCATCTCCATGCTGCACGACGATGGCAGAGCTGTCCCAGACCACGATACCCTCGGTTAAGCGCCGGCCCCCAGGCACTCTGCCCCGGGCGGCAGGAGGCAGCTCCTGTCACTGCGGCTGTGGCCCTAGCGCCCCTCTAACGCCTCGGCAGGAGAGGGGGCTCCCTACAAGCGCGAAGGATGGAGGCAGGAGGGTTATCTACCTCAGGCGCCCGAAGGACACACGTACCGYTGGCCTCTTTAAGGAGCCTCAGCGCCCGCCGCGCGGCTCGGTCGCCGCGGCGGCCCGAGGGGGTCACGGCCGCCCCCGCGCAGGCCGCTAGCCCCGCCGCCCGCCCAGGCCCTGCCCGCCGCC